CAGATGCCTGCAGGGCTCGCCCGTAGGAGAAGGTCAGGGCCCATGGCTTCAGCAGGGGGCACTTGTTGATGGCGTTGAGGTTGATGGACGCCTCCTCCTCGCTCTGGCCTCCAGACAGGAAGGTGACCCCGGTAACAGCAGGGGGCACGGTGCGGCGCAATGCGGTGACAGTTGCCATGGCAATCTCCTCATGGGAAAACTTCTGCGTGCAGGCATGGCCGGGGGTGACCATATTGGGCTTCAGCAAGGTGCCTTCCAGGTAGACGTGGTGGTCACTCAGGGCCTTGTAGACGGCAGCCAGCACCTTCTCAGTGACATACTGGCAGCGCTTCAGGTCATGGTCGCCATCGGGGAGGATCTCGGGCTCCACAATGGGCACGATGCCATTCTGCTGGCAGATGCTGGCATAACGGGCCAGCACATTGGCATTTTCCATGATGGCGAGGGCTGTAGGGGTGTGTTCACCAATCTTCAGCACACAGCGCCACTTGGCAAAGTCAGCGCCATCTTTCTTGTACTGGGCACAGCGCTCAGACAGCCCGTCCAGCCCTTGGGTGGTGGTCTCGCCGTTCGTTCCTGCCAGGGGCACCACACCCTTGTCGACCTTGATGCCCACGATCCCGCCCTTGGATTTGATAACTTGGGGAAAGGAGCGCCCATCATCCGCCTTCTGGTAGAGAGTCTCATGGAAGAGGATGACGCCCCCAATGCAGGGGTTCACCCGGTCGTCAGCGGTCAGCAGCAGCTGGCGGTAAAAGCGACGGTTCTCTTCGGTGTTCTCGGTCCCAATGGACTGCAGTCGCTTGGCAATGCTTCCGGTGGACTCATCTGCAGCCAGGATGCCCTTGCCCGGAGCCACAATGCGATGGGCAATGTCCGACAGCTCCTTCTTCTGCTCTGGGGTGAGCGCTGGGTATGGGTAGGGCATGGTGGCAAGTTCCTTCCTGGAGGCCGAAGGAGCGGCAGCAGCGGGTGGAATCAGCAGCGAGCGAGTGCCGGTAACATACATGTTAATAGGAACTATCGGTTTACCATATTAGTGAGAACTGAACAAATTTTTGTTGCATGAGTAAGAGGTATCATCTTGTATTCCATCACCAAAGGAAGAAAGAAATCTGAAGTCATCCCTTGCCACATTCCCAGTGAGTCATCAATTCTTACTCAACAGCTTTCATATCTGTCTTCGGAACTGCTGCCTTAATCTCACATCCAATTTTAAAGTATACAGTCATTTTATTTTAAAGATATTTTTATTTTGTAAAATTCCTGAAAATGAAGGCTCTCAGTCCTTCTGATATCATGACAGCTTTGCTCACAGCATATCTTGAAATAGGGTTTTAAAATTCCCATTGTTTTTATAGCATATACTATATATTTTCACATTTAAATTGAATCATTTTATGAGTAATAACTTAAATGAGTTATCATCATGACCAAATACCGACTATATAACAGGCAACAAGATCATGAAGTATTTATTGTTGTTGTTATTATCTTCATTTTCCAAACAGGAAACTGAGGCTCAGAGAGGGTAAGTAACTACCTCAAAAGTCACATAGCTAATAAGTGACAGAAACAGGATTCAAGCCTAGGTTTGTTCTAACTATCTGCTACTTTCATAAGATTACATTCACAAATACTTGCTATGTTTCTTGATTTTATAACTTGACTTAACAGAATGCTTAGGCTTTTTCAGATGTACTTTTCAAACAGCCTGAGTGATAATCCCAATCCAAAAAAAAGCCAAACCCATTGCTGATGAGTCAGTTCTGATTCCTGGCAAAGCCTAGAGTTTTCTTGGCTGTAATTTTATGGAAGCAGGTCGCCAGGTCTTTCTTCTGGGGTGCCACTGAGTGGATTGGAACTGCCAATTTGTGGGTGAACTGCTAAGAAAGAATAAACCACTTGTGCCAGCCAGGAATCTGTTTCCTCAGAAAACAGAAATTTTCCCGATGAAATCTGCTCACTGGGGACATAATTAGCCTTGAGTTACTCCTCACTTTCAAATCTTCAATAACTGAATTCTCTCTACAGTCTTATAAAGAAGATCAAATCCTTACTTTATGATCACCTTTTCTAGTCTATTTCTTTTCCTCTGTACTCTAGTCTTCAATTTGAACATCAGTTCAGAATAAGAGCAAAGAACTTTTCTCCGTCCTTAAGAATAATCATTGTTTGTCTTCCTTCATAATATTCTGATGTTCAAACTTATGGTGAATTGAAACTAGTTCTTGCCGCAATTATTTACATCTCAGATGGGGACACCAAACACAATTTTCACTACAAATGAAGCAAAATTGGACAGTTGGTTTTTCTGGGGGGTGGAAGTGGGGGTTGTTTGGTGACAATGAGTCAGGAGCTTGAGAATGACCCACCCTGTTGCCAGTAGTGCTACAGAATCTTTTGGTGAAGTGCCCAGATCCCTTCCAGTAAGCTGCTCAAAATGCTTGATTCCATTTTTATTTGGTTGCCAATTTATTAAGTGGTTAACCTTGGACTGCATCTATCCAGCATTTAATTAAGGCCAGTCTGAAATACCTTTAGAAACCTTACTAATTTCAATACACCATGCTGGCACATTTGTAAGCATCCAGCAATTGCTGAAATACTAAATCATCTTCATTAAGATGCAGTAGTTGCCACAAGAGCATTAATCAACTCAATAGCTAATTGTTAAGCTGAAAGGGTAAAAGCATTCCAACATTTCTTCTCCCTCTCCCCACATTTTTGGAGGATAAATCTGTGAAGGGTCACAGTTTCATGGAATTTCAGAGCTAAAAAGGTCCTCAGAGATGATCTAATCTATCCTCCTTATTGTAAAATGGGAAAAGTAAGGCCTAGAAGAGGGAATTAGCCGCAGAGTCAGGGTTAAAACTCAGCACTCTAATCCATAGGTATTCTTCATTTCCAGAATATTTTCATAAGATAAAATGATTCCACCTCATTATTCATCCTCTCTATATTTCTAGAGATAATGATGTTCAACAGCACCTGTACATTTCATAACAATTCTTTAACCATATTGTTGTTTCTTTATTTATTATATTAGTACATAAACTAACTCTATGGTTTTTGAAGGCATAATTCTAAAGCCATTACTTTCAACAAATGAAAAATAACCATTTTCCTCAGTCTTTACTTATCTACTGTTGATGCATACCTGAGTATGAGGCTACAATGGTGCCTATAGTTATCAAATTGCAGACATCGGTTTAGACCGAAGCATTTCTATTTGGCATTGAGCTCCAGAGCTTAAATGTGTGGAAGCAATAAACCTCATTAATAGTATGCTAAGCTAAACAGAATGACAATTTCCATTCTTTAATCAACTAAAAACATAGTTCTGTATACGAGCCACATCGCATGGCCACATCCGCAGAAACATAAATTTACTGTCTGTGAATGCTGGGAAGCCTGCAACTCGAATTATCTCCAAGTCCCCTGCAACACCTCCAACCTCTGTGAGAAAACAGGAATGATGGGAGTAAATACAAAGTGCCCATTGTCCGGGTAACATAATACAATGACAGTGGTGCTCAAATTGTGGTGTGTGTAAAAACCACCTGAGAAGATTGCGCGCGTGCACACGCGCACGCACACGCACACACACACACACAAAGCACAACACCTCCCAACTCTAATTCAGTAGTCATGGAGTAAGATCTGAGAATCTGCATTACAATAAGGACCCTACACTAATCCACACAAGTGGAGGGTATTGTTTATATCTCCACAGGAGAGGAAAAGAGAGATGAGGCTTCAACCCAATGCGCCAGGACTGGCATGTACCAGGGAGCCAATAGAGAGGTCTGCAGGGCCAGCCCCAATGTGGAAACCGGCCCCCCCTCAGAAGAATGCACTTCGGAGGACAGCACTGGGGCTACAGCTTGGGGAGAGGGGTGCATCTGATTAGAGCACACATGGGAGAAACACAAAGAGATAGAGGGAGTGGAGGACATCCTGATCCACCAAGCCCCAAGGACGATATTCCTGTTTAGAGCAGACAACACACAGAGAGGACCATAGGGTCAGCCCCACCATGAGACACGACGTCCCTCACTAAGCCATAGCGCTGCGGAGGACAATACTGAACACACAGTGCGGGAATTGTGCACAATCTGACCCCATCGCCCTGGGGCGAAATACTAAGGCATGCAACAGAGCAGCAAGGGGAGCAAAGTGCTGAAATCCCCGGGCAATACCAAAAAACAGACTTTGGAGACAGAGCATGTCATCCCATCAGACACCACTGGAAAACACTCCTAAAGGCCAACAAACAGACTTTGAACCATTTATGTCAGTGGCTTTCTTTTTGTTGTTGTTGTTGTTATTGTTTTGTTGGTCTTGACTTCCTTTGTTGTTTTATTTGGCTTTGCCGGGTTTTTGAATTTATTAATATATCTGCATGTCTATCTAGATAAGATAAACAGGATAAATTATTTGGAGATGAAAAGAACAAGAACAATCGTTCTGGGGGGATACAGGAGAAGGGGAGGTGGGAGAAAGGAAGTTAGTGGGGGAACCAGCCCAGGGACAAGGGAACAACAAGTGAACTAAAATCAATGGAGAGAATGGCGTAGGATGCCTAGTGGGGCTCAATCAAGGGCAATGTAGCAGTGAGGAATTACTAAACCCAAATGAAAGCCGAACATGATAGTGGGACAAGAGTAAAGTAAAAGGAAACAGAGGAAAGAACCAGGAGGCAAAGGTCATTTATAGAGATTTAAATGCAGGTATGTACATATTCCCAAATACCCACATCTACAAAATAAGTGATGCTGGACATAGAGATAATACTGATTCCCCATCCAAGCTACTTGTGAGAATAATTTGATTAATTGTCTAAGATCCTACTCTGAATATTTTGCTGGATTTGCTCTGAGGTGGGACCTAAATAACTTCACAAGTAATTCTGAGAAACTTCCCAGTTTGAGTAGCACTCAAACAAAGGCACATCCCAGTCATTTCATACATTCCACTTTCTCTAATTAAACTTATACCTAAACCACCTCAAAATAAGGATAGCTCTCTACTTTCAAAGAAATTCACCTTCCCCCTCCCTCCCTGCAACAAATGTATACGTGTGCTTTACACAATTGATATATGTATGGATTGTGATGAATTGTATGAGCCCAATAAAATGATTAATAAAACAAAACAAAAAGAAATTCACATTTTAAACACCATGAGATACAAAAACACATCTACTAGAAAGATGAGAATTTAAAATGGTGGGAATAAGGCACAAGTGGACCCCACATCCATCGCGAATGAGAATGTAAAGTGGTGGAACTGTGGAGAAGAGTTTGGAACTTTATTTTTAGATTAGCATACACTGTTGGTAGGACTGTAAGGCAGTGCAATGACTGTTAAAAGCAGTGTGGCACTTCCTCAACAAAAAGAGAGAGAGAGAGAGGGAATAGAAATAGCATATGACCCAGCAATCCTTCTACTTGGTTTATACCCTAAAGAAATAAGAACCATAGCACAAATAGTTCTATGCATACCCATGTTCATTGCAGCATTATTCACAATCACAGTAAGCTGTAAAAACCTAAATGCCCAACACGGAAAGAATGAATAGACAAACCTTGACACGTGCACACAATAGAGTACCGTTGCTCTTTTTAGATGGCCTCCAGTCAGTTCCAACTTATAACAATGTTATGTACAACAGAATGAAACGTATTTTGTGGTTCTGTCTGAGCCCATTGTTGAAGCCATGGTGCCAATCCATCTCCTTGAGGGGCTCCTCTTTTTCACTGCCCTTCTACTTTACCAAGCACCAGGTCCTTTCCCAGGGACTGGGCTCTCCTGAGAAACTGTCCAAAGTATGTGAGACATGTCTCACCATCCTCACTTCTAACGCAAATTCTAACCATACTTCTTCCAAGACAAAGCCCATGGTACTTTCAATATTCTTCTCCAACTCCGTAGTTCAAATGCATCAGTTTTTCTTCATTATTCCTTATCCAACGTCCAGTT